TATATTTCTGTCAGTTTCTTTTTTCGGCTTACTTGTCACAGTTTGTAATCATATTATTATACGATTCTTTGCCTAATGTTTGCCTTTCTATCAGAGCAAGATTTATGCAAGCAGGAACCAAATCCTTAAAACAAACAAACAAAGAGTCCATGAATTTACTTCGTTAGCATGATACCTGGCAGCATAAGAAATATTTTGAATAAATGAAAGACTATACCGACACCTCCCGACACCTCCCACCCTGTTGATTCTTATTTTAAAAGCCCAGTTTTTCTTAGGCTTACTTCTGTAAGCATCTCATAAGATATTCCAAAGTAAAGTGAATGCAAAACCAATCAAGCATAATAAAAAAGTATTTTAGTTAATGAACTGAAGTATTATACTTGGTGAGTAGAAACATCCTTGGGTGCCACTTACAAAAACAGGCTCTGCTGTTTTTGTATTCTCTCCATCCATAAGAGAATGAGTGTCTTAACCCTGCTAAGCATTTGTACTGTTAGAATCCTTGTTACCAGGGGAAGCTGGCATCACTGTTTAAACTGTTATGTCTTAACTTACATTTTATTTTTGGCAATTTAGATTTTATGCCCTTCTATCTTTTTGAAATGAAACCAAAGCTCATCTGTTCTTATACCCTCCAAATTTAAACGTTTTTATTTCTTTGAAGGAGGAAATGGTAAATTGGGAAAATATAGGAAAACCTACCAAAAATATCAGTCTTCTGGGAAGACAAAGACAAACAGAAGCCTAATCCTGTGTTTTGTGTCAAATATTGCTTGCCTTTTTTAGATGAGTTTTGCAAAGGGTTTTATTAATATGCAAGCTTTCTTTCCAAGCTCTGCAGTGACATTTGTTCTGCTCTCATTTCCCAGTTCCACTAGAAACATCTGTATCTGCCTTTGATACAAGTTCTGTAAGTATTTTATGTTAGGTACTAATTAAATTTCTTTGAGTTGTATAGAATAGAAACCAGAAGATGATAAAAAGGGACAAAAGAAATGAAAAAAGACTTGAACAATGAAGCACTTGAAAGGATGAAGGCAAAACTACTCCAAATTCATGGATTTTTTTCTGTAGAGTTCTGTAAGGAACATGTATCTGTCCTTTTCCCCTATTGTCTGCTGGTTAAAATTCTCAAGGCCAGGTTCTAATTGGACCCTCTTAAAACAGGTGACTATGTCAGTGTCCAGTTGGGTATTGCCCACCAGATCTACTTCTGTGAATGCAGTAGGCACAGAAGAGGTGTTTGAAAGACACCTTAATGGATGTTCATCACACACAGCCTAAACATTCTATTGAAACACTTGATTGATTGATTGATTAATGATAAGAAAGCAATAAATATAGATGTATAACTCACTGAGAGACTTTGAAAGAGCCTTATTCTAACAATAGGATTCTAGAATGATGTATTTTAAATCTGTTCTAATACGGAGAAAGATATAGAAAATTAAGGCACACGGGTAACCGTTACGTTCAGGGTGTAGAAGGTTGACCTTTAGCAATGTGGCTTCCTATGTCTCCAGTCTCCTGCTGGAAAGGGCATTTTCTAGTGCACATTATGTCTTCTTAGCTTTGACTCACTTTCTCCCTTCTTGCATACCCAAATTCACACCATCGTTTGTTTATGTCCTCTATCATTTGGTCCCCTTTCTCCCACTATCTTTGTCACTTTATACTATGGCCCTCACCTTGTCACCTTATTCCCAAAGATTGCTATTGGCCAGCAGCTCTTCCAGATTAAAGTTATTTACCTCCTTTATTCCACCTTCCATGTGCTGGAGGATGAATCTTCCTAAGACATCACTTTTGTCATGATGGCAATCTCCTCAAAAATATTTTATCCATTTTGCTTTCCTACTTAATCAACTATAATCTCTGCTAATCTGCCAATGTCTTTTTCTTACCCACACTTAGTCTCCAGTCTTCCTTAATCTGAATGCTTGGGTTTATAAGTTTGGCCTTTTTAATGTCCCCTTCCAACCATATTCACACAGTTACTCCCACTCCTGGCTCACATTTGGTGTTGTACTGTGCTAGAATGCTTTACTTCATCCCTCTTGTTCACCTATTGAAATTCAGACTATTATTTTAGACCTATCTCAAGTCTTAACCTCCAATGAGGTCTACTTTATGCCTCCTGCTCCACTTATTTTAAAAAATTATTTTATTTTTGTACTTGTTATGTATTATGATTTTATAAAAGATTTTTCTGTTCTTTAATGTCTGTAAGCCATTTGCAAATTTAGCCTACCAATATATAGAAAGGACATTATGCTCTTTTATTCTTTACTATTTTACACAAATATTTATTATATGCTTCCCACATGCCTGACATTTGTCTAAACAATGCAGATACGAAGAGCAAGACAGATAAGGACATCTACTCCTGTCGGCCTTAATTATGGTGGGAAAAGATAGACTGCAGCCTGGACAAGGTGAAAAGTGGCAGGAGATGTGTAACAGAGAAAGGGTCAGACTGGGGAGAAATTTGAAAATTATGGAATAGGGAAAATACCATGATTTCTTTTCCTCCTCCCCCTTCTCCTCCTCTTATGCTAAACTGTATGGGTTTTATCTTAAATGTAATGGATGATCACTGACTTCTGTGTAGCAAAAATATTATAAAAGGGCAGATGAAGAAACAGGACATGCAGAAATCTAGGGAGGAGATGATGGTGCTTTGGACTCAGGTGACAGGAATAAAGCTGGAGGAATTGGTTCATGTGTTTACATGTGACCTCTCCTGCTATATTAAAAACCACTGGCCAGTTGCAGTGGCTCATGCTTGTAATCCCAACACTCTGGGAGACTGAGGCAGGCAGATCTCGAGGTTAGAAGTGTGAGACCAGCCTGGCCAATATGGTGAAACCCCCGTTGCTACTAAAAATACAAGACAACCAGCTGGGTGTGGTGGCACATGCCTGTAGTCCCAGCTACTCAGGAGTCTGAGGCAGGAGAATTGCTTGAACCCAGGAGGCTCAAGTTGCAGTGAGCTGAGATTGTGTCACTGCACTCCAGCTTGGGTAACAGAGGGAGACTCTGTCTTAAAAAACAAAACAAAACAAAAAAAACACCCCCCCCCAAAACACCACAGACAGATGCTATATCTTAACCTATGAAATATTCCACATGTAAAAAGCACACGGTAGATGTTCCATACGTATCTGTTGGCAAAATAATGAAATTTAATTTTGCCAGTGCTTTACTTAAAAAAAATTGAGAAATAGGAGACTGAATTGACCAGTTATTTGGTTGTTAAACATTTCTCTTCCTCCTCATGATGGATACCTGCACAATTATTTGTTTGACTTACCAGGCAATGATGTTCAGTCCAGATAGAGTCAAACTACCAAATTGAAACTTTCTAACATTTTGCAGTTTTTAGACATGTCCTCAATGTGTCACAATATTGTAAGGATCTTTAATAAAATCTCAAGGCAATGTAAAATAACTGAACATTTTTTTCTTCCCACAAGTATATTTCTTTTTAGTCCAGTATGTTTGCTTTTGCAAATGTCATGGTAATGCTTCAAATAATATTTAATCCCCAATGTATAGTTTTGAGTAGGATGTGCCAATGATTAAAACTCTATGTATGGAAATAAAATTGCTGCTTAACAAGGCTGTTAAATCTCAAGATTGTGTTTGAGTATGTAATTCATTTTTCTTTTTATAACTATGACTTGACTATTTGAGGACTAACTTTTCCCAAGTAACTTTTTGAAAAAGAAATTTAAATGTGCACAAGAGAGAGGCACCATATAAGTGAGTTGACTCAAAGATATGTAATCTGCTTCCTACGGATAAATCATATAATGCATCCAAAGTCTAGGATATCAGGTTTCCAGTGTAGATCTCTTCTGAAAAATTATCAAGGTAAAAAAATGAAAAAATAAATACAAAAGCACTTTGACACATTTTAAAAATTATATATTTAGTACTCTTTTTATTTAATAAATTATAAAAGCACCTATATCCTTTATTCAGAACAATTTCAAGCCCTTGAATTCTAAAGAAAATAGTTTTTAGAATGGTTGCCTAAAAGCCAAAGTTTACTTCACCAACCTGAAAACCTTCTACTGTCTTAACTTGTACAAGAAGCTCTGTGGGAGGAGACTCTTTAAATATTTACTAATATCATTTGGAAAAATAAATTTCTAACCACATCGTTCACTAATGAAAATAGTGCCAAGTCCTGATATGGCACATTGGAATCAAATCAAGTTTCATACAATTTTAGAGGTGGACAGGGCATTAGAAACCATTTAGTTCAATTCATTTGCTTCTCACATGGTAACAATTCATTTTTTTTTTTTTTGAGGCAAGTTCTTGTGGCCAAGAAGAATGGTCAACTGAGAGGGAGCCATGCAGTATATCTTCATAATGAAAAAAAAAAAAAAAGAAGAAGAAGCACATTTTACTGACTTATCTGAACCCTTTTTCAGCAGCATGGAGACTAACCCTTTGGTCTTTAAAGCTGAGGCCAATACTTTTCACCCACATCCTGCTCGTTTGAATATCTTAATTTTACTGTATTTTTGAATCCATTCAATTAACTATTAAAGATAAAATGTCTCTTTAAATTTTTTATATTCCAGTAACTGTTCTAAGCACTTACAGCTAGTACATTGTTTAATTATCACTACATTCCAATATTATTTCCACTTTACAGTTTAGAAAACTGAGGCTCAGAGAGTTTGATCATTCATTAAAAATCCCAGAGATACTGAGTGGTAGAGTATGGATATGAATCCACACAACATAAATACTAAATACCTGCCCATTACTTTATTTATGACTACCCAAAGTACTTCGCTTAAAATTATAGTAAGACTTAAACAGTCAAATTTTGTGCTTAAAAATAAATAGTATATAAAATTGTGATAATGACTACTTCTAGTTTTAAAACCCTGATAATTTAACTTTCAGCATTAGGATTTCAAATATATCATCAAAGAAAGAGTCTGGGAGATGCTTTGCTAATTTGGGGAACATATTTCCTAATTCAAATATTCATGTGAAAGACTCTGCATCTGCTTCAATCTTGTCTATACCTCCAGATATCAACATAGCACTTGGAATGTGATAGGAGTTATATAACATCTATGAAATGAGTGAAGGGATGAATTATTAAATTGCAAATAATTTTTATGCATAAAAATGCTAAAGAATTTTATTAAGACAAATCTGGTGACTTGAAGGATTCATGTAGCTTCCCTCAATATTAAAAAATTTCTTAAATTATCAAATTAAGGCCGGGCGTGGTGGCTCAAGCCTGTAATCCCAGCACTTTGGGAGGCCGAGACGGGTGGATCACGAGGTCAACAGATCGAGACCATCCTGGTCAACATGGTGAAACCCCGTCTCTACTAAAAATACAAAAAATTAGCTGGGTACGGTGGCGCATGCCTGTAATCCCAGCTACTCAGGAGGCTGAGGCAGGAGAATTGCCCGAACCCAGGAGGCGGAGGTTGCGGTGAGCCGAGATTGCGCCATTGTACTCCAGCCTGGGTAACAAGAGCGAAACTCTGTCTCAAAAAAAAAAAATAATAATAATAATAGTAATAATAATTAAAAATAAATAAATAAATAAATAAAATCTGAACACCCGAAAAATTACAGAATAATGGCAGTTTTTAAAAATCGAAATTTGGAAAAAAAATCAAAATCTGGACTATCAACATAATTATTTTTTCCCCTAACAAATCACTTTCCTTTCCTTATAAACAAGCAGATGTAATAATGAAAGATCAATTTGATCTATAGACAGAGTCTTGCTTTTTGCCCAGGCTGGAGTGCAGTGGCGCAATCTCAGCTCACAGCAACCTCCGCCTCCCAAGTTCAGGTGATTTTTCTGCCTCAGCCTCCTCAGTAGCTGGGATTACAGGCAGCACACCACCACACATGGCTAATTTTTATATTTTTGGTAAAGACAGGGTTTCACCGTGTTGGCCAGGCTGGTCTCCAATGCCTGACCTCGTGATCAGCCTGCCTTGGCCTCTCAAAGTACTGGGATTACAGGCGTGAACCACGGTGCCCAGCCCAAGATAATACTTTTTGTTTGGTGTTTGTTGAATTCCACAATGGTAACACAGTGGGCAAATAAATATATGCTTAATTCATGTATTGGTATTTGTTTTATGTTGGTCTTCCCAGATATTTAAAATTTCATTACTGAACAGAAATTATCTATTCAGTAACCTTAATAGCACATATATTTAAAAACTATAGAAAGATAATTGGAAAATAGATGCATTATAAGTATAACTTTTATACTACAGGAAACTGAAAATATAAGACTATTTCAGGTATATTGTTTACCATCTTAATTAGCTATTTTTTTAAAAAAAAAAAGTCTCAACAGATCTGATATTTTTTTCCAGAATGAATTCTAGTCAAGTGATTCAATGTAATAGCTGGGGAAATTTCCTATTCAGCCTCCATATAGCTAGAATATTTGATTGCCCTTTGTATTCTAGGCACTATTTTACAGAGAAGACCTGTATTATCTGGCAGTGATGGGTGTTCTCCCACTAAGTAACAAGGCAGACTGCTTCTGCTCAGCTTACCCAGCTAGAGAAGAGTGGCACGACTGACAGTGGTAAGGTCTGCAGTCTGACTGTGCAATGTTGGAGAAGCCACTGGATATTGTGAATAGTTCAAACTTATTATTTATTTATTCAATAATATTGAGATGCTTTTTCTTCAATAAGTTGATAATTATTTTAGACTCTCCAGCCATTGTTAAAGCCAAATATAAATTATTCCCTTCATTGGGTGGGTGCGGAGTAGAGGGCAAGCATTAGATAGATGACCTGTAAAGAGTCCTTTCAGTGTGAGAGGATATGATTTTGGATGTCTATAATCCAGTTGTAGAAATAACCCTGAAGCAAAGATAACTATGAGGGCTGAATATAATTAATTGCTGAATAAATTGCCTGAAGGAAGAGAAGCAACATGAAGTTTAACAAAACTTGTGTTCAGCAAATTTATTATAACAGGATTTTAAAAAGAATCTTATTGGGTGGAAACTGTATTTATAAGTAGAGTTCTCCATGTTTCTGACTACATTTTTATAAAATGGTGTAATAAGTTGAAATATAATCTAATCTATAAGTACTGCTGGTCACTAAGTAACCAATTTGATCCCAGGATAGTTTATTGAGTTATTGAGATTGGCTGAACTAAACATTTCTTGTTTTTAATAATATCCAGGGCAGTTGGATTAATAACAAGGTTATTAACTTTTAAATAATAGGATTTTTAGATGTCTTTTTAATACTAACTGTTCCGTCTCTATGACAGTATCTTTCTAATTTCAGTACTTAAGAATTATATTCAGAGAACCGAGTTTTACAAATACTCAAAGAGCAATTTTTAATGTTATTGCTTGCTTTCTTTTATTGGTTATTGGTGTTTTCTCCAAAAATTTAAATTGATTTAATTCTCCATTCAAATAGTGTATGATACAAGTATCCAAAACCGAAAAAGAATAACGTCTTGTTTTGATATTTTATTGGCCAAGCCTCTAATGCACCTCAAGTTATGTTTGGATAACATTGCCCTATGTCAAATAACAGTTCTATATTTGTTACCTTCAGCTACATACATCCACTTTTGCCTTTCTTTCCCTCTCTCAACCCTGTAGATTCTGGTGGCCATGCCAGGGTTAGTTGCCAGAAGTTCTTGGTTATCAAAAAGTCCAGAGAATAAGTGTAAACCCACTCTAGAAAACAGCGCATGGCAGATTTGGGGAAATAATTCCACTGTGAAACCTAAAGGTTGAATGCTAGTTAAAAACACAATCATGTCTTGATTTAGCTGGCTTGGACATCAAAAATGGCAGAGGGCCAATGGATGAATGTGGTAGGCCATTCTTGATAAATTTCCTGTTTGAGAGGTTTCCTCCTGCATTGATCTCCTTGGCTCTATATCAGAAGACGCAGCAATGCCAGCATCCAGCATCTTTCATCTGGGAGAAAAGTACTGGGACCAGAGAGAAAATTTCATTTGTTATTCAGGTCCATTTATCTTCTCTACTTTCCAACACTTTTTTTTCTTTGTCTCCTCTGTCGCTGGGATTGATTATTTTTATGTGCTTATTTTTTGTCTATTTTTAGCTAGAAAAAATTTCAAGTAAGTGAATACTAGAAAAATGCTTTGGGCCTCTGTGAACAGGTGTTATAAGCACACACAGGTGAACTTTTAACTGAGTTAATCATGACTTCAAGATGTACTCAGATATATTGATGATAAAGTAGGACTTCAGGAGGACTATAATAGCAGCCTTTTACTTTTTAATTTTTTTAAATAGATACTTTACCAGGAATTAATTCAGAATTCTTGCAAATGCTCTGGGCTGAAGATCCTATTAGCCTTCACTTGAACATTTTGGTCAGGGTTTCCTTCTCCCTTTTTGGAAAATCTTTTTTCTTCTATCAAAGAAACACACATACTGTAGATTTTATTTTATTTTATTTTATTATTATTTTTTTGAGACGGAGTCTCGCTCTATCACCAGGCTGGAGTGCAGTGGCTCGATCCCCGCTCACTGCAACTTCTGTTTTCCAGTATCAAGCAATTCTCCTGCCTCAGCCTCCTGAGTAGCTGGGATTACAGGCACGCGCACCACCACACCCGGCTAATTTTTTGTATTTTTAGTATAGACGGGGTTTCACCATGTTGGCCAGGATGGTCTCCATCTCTTAACCTTGTGATCCACCCGCCTCCGCCTCCCAAAGTGCTGGGATTACAGGCATGAGCCACCTTGCCTGGCCAGTGTAGATCTTATTTTTTAAAAAGTTGAATTATGCAATCATTTCTCTTCTTGCTTCATGACCCAGGAAAGGCTTCCCATGTTTTGAGGAAAATCCTGCTAGACAGTGATCGAAAAACCTAATCTTCCTGGTAACCCTTCCAAGGGGACTTTGGTACTGTTGATAAATATGTGTTCCACAGATGGCACCATTTTATCTTCCAAAAAGCTCCTGTTCTGGATAGCACTGAGTTATAACCCTACATAAATTAAAAAAAAAAAGTGTGAACATCTTTCCTCTGATCAGTAATCTGTCATTTAGCACAGGATTTCAGAGCTCATGAAAGATGTCCACTGGTCAGTTCATCACAGTGTCTGCATGCACTCCATTAGCTATGCTGTAAGGAATGCCACTTGCTCTTTGTGTTCTGTGAGGCAGAACAATAGGGCACTCTCCTCTGGAATAGCTGCTGATTCCTTCAAAGCTCAGTCAAAGCCCACATTTTTCCTTTCTGAATAATGTATGAGCTTGGCTCATCCATGTGCTGCTAATCTACTATGGAGGAAGCTTCCAGCAGCTTTTAGCCTTTTTGTCTGATGCCACTGAGAAAAACTCACCAGTTCAAACAGGAATACCTTGTGATCAGACTTTGTTTGCTTCAAGGTTTTTGATGAAAAGGTAGGAGTGAGAGAAACCCAGAGGAGTGTGTTTGCACACAAACAGACAGGCATGCTGACCTTTGAGACGGCATCCAATTCAATGTTTCTTACCTTGTGGGCTCATGTGAGACAGAAAGGTAAACACAGCTTCTGATGCACAACAGTAAACAGACTTTGTGTTGAAGAAATACTTCCTCCATGTCCCCTTGTGAAATTGAGGGCCCAGTCAGTGGCCAGCTCGCAAGCCTTCTTACTCCATGATGGTCAATGTGCTCCATGAGGGATCTACTTCTATTTTTCACCTGTGTATAATTCCCAGGACCACTGTAACAAATTACCACACACTGAGTGGCTTAAAATAGCAGCACCTTATTTTCTCATAGTTCTAGAGGCTAGAAGTCCAAAATGAAGAGGTTGGAAGAGCCATGCTCTCTCTAAAACTTCAAGGGAAGATCCTTTCTTGCCTCTTCCAGCTTCTGGTGGTTCTTGGTATTCCTTGGCTTGTGGCAACAGAACTCAATCTCTGCCTCCATCTTTAAGCAACCTTCCTTTCTGTGTGTCTTCATCTGTCTTCCCGTAAGGGCGCCAGCTATTGGGTTTAAGGCCCAACTCAATCCAGTATGACTTTATGTTAATTAATTAGACTTATTTCTAAATATGATCACATTCTGAGATTCTGGGATGATGTGAATTTTGTGGGGATACTTTTCAACCTAGTACAACCTATAGGAATAAAGAATCAAAATTTATAGACCCCTGTGCTAATCTCTAGATGTGTCTGAGAAGCTTGCTTAGTACCTAACCATATTTAAAATGGGGATAAAGATGCTTCTAAGGATGGTATTTCATCCCTCAACCAGAGGGACACAGCTTCATGTCTGCATACCTACCAATCTTCTAGAACCAAAGGTTTCCCTACACATATGTGATCAAACCCACATCCTTCAATGCTCTTTCAAATGACTTTTCTCTGAAGCTATTTTCTTTCCAGAGGATGTTATTATTCTTCTTTTAGTCCCACAAATTTGAGAAGAGTTTTATAAATTTAGAATTTCTCAAGGTCCCCAAAAGTCCACTGTCCCAGGATTTCTGGGTAAGAGGGACAAGAATTAAGCAGTAAAGAATCATGAAATCTCAAACATTTGAAGAAAATTGAGGTACTGGACAGCCGATCATTTTTGTAAGATAGTGTATCCGTTAGCTCCTTAAGCAGGAATGGCCAAATATGAAACCGATATGTTTAGGTAGTGGATGATTTCTGAAGAATGGAAGAGTCTATTATGAGGGAGGTAGGAGAGCCCAAACGAACCCCACCTGTTTTATACGTCAGCTTCGAGCTATCCCTGAAGCTCACAGTGACCTCCTTCTGTCATCTCAATTCTTATGTACTGAACAATCAACATGGATATTGTGTTTAGCCCCTGTCTAAGAGTAGAGGAATGCAAGGCGGCAGAGTGTAAATGAAGACATTTTCTGTCTCTGGGTCCAAGGATTACAGGGGGCCTCTCGTGTCCAGATGAGTGGGAGGGAAAAGCAGGAACAGCATACTCTAGGGCAGTTGACGTGCATTTGGACATTAGAGAAAAGCTCCTGTAGCTTTCCCATCTCCTGCTAGTCCCTTTGTAGACCTTGTTCACCAATATGCAATCTTTCCTATCAATTATAATGCTTTCAGTTGTAATTAACAAAAGAACCCCCCAAAATGGCCCATAAAACAAGGGGTTTATTACCTCATACAACAAGAATTGTTGAGTCTAGAAATTTCCAAGATTAGTTAATTTAGCAGCTTAATAACACGAAGGGCCCCAGTGCTTTTGGTCTTTCTTCTCTAACTTGGCTGTGTTCTTGTTGTGGTCTTGAGATGGCTGAGGCTGATGCAGGCATCAAGACCAGGGCCACTTTTGGGGTGGGCCATCAGTGTTTTCCATACGACCCCAAGTTCAGCAGGTCCTACTTGTGCGCTAATGCTCTGGGGTCACTGTATTGAAATTCTTAGTAATTCTACTTTGAATTTGTGCTTTGTAAGTGAAGTATGATGGAACAAAGAAGTCTGTACCAGGCACTCAGAGCCTTCAACTCATGGGCAGTCCTGCCTGACCTTCTTGCTAGAAAAGGTTCTAGGCCACCTGCCCCCAGCCACTGCCCAACAGCTACTGCCTGCCTCTGCCTCCAGCAGGGGTTGGAGTATAGGTGCAGGGGATCGGGGTCAGAGTAATGTGTGCTGTGCATGCTGAGTTGTAGGGTGAGGCTCTAGGTACCTGTGAGGGTGCCTCAAACCCAAAGCACAAATAAAAACCACCATGACAAGTCAAGAAGGGGAGATCATTGAAAAAAGGAAACAGTTTGATCCTGCTTCTTGAATAAGGATCTTCACATTTTAAATTTTCACTTGAGTTTGCAAATGATGTGGCTCGCCCTAGTTCGGAAATCCAGCAGAGAAAACAGACTTTACCTTGCATGGCTTTTCTCAGTTTAGAAAAGTCTTCTCCAGATGCTTCTAGGAGATCCTAGTTCTACATAGCTCAGAGTTGGAGCACATGTCCCTGCCTGAGACAATGACTGGCTAGCAATTAAGACTACTCTGATTGATACAAATCAATAGAGGTTCACTTTTGGGCCAAAGATGGTCCATCATTGACCTCATGGCAGCTCCAAGTATTAGAACGAAGTTGTGGTTCTGCAAGTAAGGAAAAATTGGGGTAGAATAGCGGGAGGAGGCAGATTTAGGTAGAAATTTAGCAGTGTCTGTCACACAGTTTTCTCTATGATTTAGCTCCTTTTTCATTCCATTATATCAGCTAGAGAAGCCATAGGGATTCTCAGAACCGTCCTTGTAGCTACTTTGATTGAAACAGATGAGTGTTGCTTGGGTCCTAACAAGTTAAGAAACGATTACCCTAAAGTAAAAGTCTACCAAACCAATATAATTATGTCAACTTAAATATTGTTCTTGAAAAATCTTTCCATGCTACTTACATCTTTTTTTAAGACCTCAAAAATGTTCTAAAAATAGATGTTTGTCAGACAAATGTGCACTTCAGTTTATTTCATTTTCTTACTCAAGTGCAACTTTTTTTTCTTTTTCAGGGCATATAAGACAAAATAATCCATCAGGAAGAGATATTATAACAATTAATATTTTTCTAGTTTAATTGTTATTTTTGTTTATTTGTGTTTTTGAGATGGAGTGTCATCCTGTCACCAGGCTGGAGTGCAGTGGCATGATCTCGGCTCACTGCAACCTTCGACTCTCTGGTTCAAGTGATTCTCCTGCCTCAGCCTCCCAAGTAGCTGGGATTCCAGGCACATGCCACCACACCCAGCTAATTTTTGTACTTCTAGCAGAGACAAGGTTTCACCATGTTGGCCAGAATAATCTTGATCTCCTGACCTCGTGATCCACCTGCCTCAGCCTCTCAAAATGCTGGGATTACAGGCGTGAGCCACCGTACCTGGCCTAATTCTTGTTTTTACCTAGGACTGAGCATCTCACCAAGCCTTCTGATGTTTGGCCTGTGTACTTAATTTCCAAACCACCAGAATCACATTAAAATTCCTAAGTGTTTGGGATTGAATGACTTGATTGAGTAGCAGAATGTTACTGGGCAAAAAACTGAGTTGGAAGTTGATTTTGTTTTCTTTTTACACCAAACTCTTACTACCGGGCAGACAGATATTACATCTTTCTTTACCATTGTCCCCAAAGATCTTTATGCCAACCATTCACTTCCAAAAACTCAGGTGCACTCCCAGAGCTACAAATGCCACCAGCTGAGAATGTCAGAAGAGGAAATCCAAGTCTGATCATATACCTGAGCTTTACAGGAAACATTTGGCAACTTGGAAAGGCCCCAAGAAAATGTGTCCTAACCCTTCCACATTCCATCCACTGCTGTAACATGGTACAAACTCATACACTGCAAAAACTTGCCCCCTAAATGCACATTGTAATCCACAAAACTGTGCTCCTGTGCACACACAGTCAGAAACACAGAAATTTCTTCTACATAGGAATTCTGAAAATGAAGACCAGAGTCTGAGGTTTTCACCACAAGGACTCCACCAGGATTAGCACAGATGCCTGGGAAAGAGAGGACCTCAGTTTGGCCAAACACTTCACATAAACTTAACTGGGCATCACTAGTGGAAAGAGAGGAATGCAACCAAGACACATGAATACCACAATGTTTCACTGGATGTTTTCTAGTTCTAAAGATCAGGCTTTAATTGAGTGATGGTGCACGCAGGCTTGCATTTTTTCATGTTATCTGCTAGAATTCCTTGGCTTTGTTCTAATCTTAGGCCTAAGGCACAACTAAATGAGTCCAGTTACCTAGAAAGAGTATCTGAAGAGGGCTAGGTAAGAAGTGGGCATAAGTGAGTGCTGGGAAAAAAAATTCAAATCATTAAAATACTCTATTTCTTGAGCAATGTCTTTGTTGTAAAGAAGGGTACGGTGGAAAATGAGTATCACATCTTGTATTAGTTTGTTTGTGCTGCTAAAACAGAATGCCACAGAGAGGGGAATTTACAAGAAAAAGAAAAAAAAAAAAAAACAGAGATATTTGTCTTGTGGTTCTAGAGCTTGGGAAGTCCCAGAGTGAAGGGTCACATCTGCTGAGGGTCTTCTTCCCGTGTCGTAACATGATAGAAGGCATCACATGGCGAGCACACAAAACAGAGAGGAAATCAAGCCAAATTCATTCTTTTATCCTGAGCCCACACCTGTGATAAGTAACACACTCTCATAATAAGGGCACTAATGCTTTCATAAAGTTGAGGCTCTCATGACCTAATCACCTCTTAAAGTCCTGCCTCATAATGCCAAAACAATGACAATTAAATTTCAACATGAGTTTTGGAGGGGACATTCAAACTGCTGCATGCTTTAATTTGCTGTTTCTAGACTATTAAAGAATTGCCAAGGTGGTTTCAGCATTTTCAATGGCATTTAGATATACTGGAGATACACAACTCATCTAAAAATCATAGGATAACATTTTGAAAAGTGCTTTGTAAGCTAGCAGAGTGATTTTCTTGTTATTTGTCTAAACTCCTCATTTCCAGAATCCAGTTGAAACCGAGATGTTGAGTGATCTGCCCTGAGTCACATGATTTCCAGTCTCTTGGCTCTCATTCCCCTCACCACAAAGCAGACAGGTTTAAAAAAAAATATCCAGAGCAGATTTTTTTAGGGTAACTAACTTCACCAAATATATTATTATGCATATAATATCAGCAGTTATGATCTCTCCAGAAACCAACATCGTTAACTTTAGTAAGTCATGGATGGGAGTTCTTTGGAATGGTCCTTTTCCTGTGGATTAAATTATTTGGGTAATTCTGGAACTTACAGAGTTGTTAAATACTATACATGCATAAAATCTGCCTTTTATGCCTAGTCAGCCACCGCATGAGTTTTCTTCTAAGACAAAAGGGATAATAGTAGTCACATGCTGGTGATGAGTATTTGACCCAGAGCTTGAGGAAGCTTGTTAGTGTTTTCCTTTCTAGGACATTTAATTAGCTGTGTGTCATTAACATCCCCAGGCACTATTGGCTATGCCAATGTTATGGTCATCTTGGTGCCTGGCTATCAGGTGTGGGGTGACAAGTATGGGGAGCAATGTCAGCTTGAACCAAGAGGATGACTCACAGAGAAACTACAGCCCTGTGCTACTCCAGGCTTTGTGATGAAGAGACTAATCAAGGGCGGGCCTACTTCTTGGAGAGAACTTCTTTGACTTTGTAATATTTGAATAAGAATTAAATGAGGTGGCACATTTGGCCCCTAGTTTCATGGCTCACCTGGTATAAACCTGGTATGAATTGAATATAAACATACTTTTGACCTGTTATTTCTTGGTCGTAAGGTTTAATTCAGTCAGTCCTTCAGGACATGGGATTCTATTTCCCAGGGTCTTACACATGTTTTTAGTCAAGGGCCAGACAGTTAACATTTTGGACTTTGTGGGCAAAATGGTCTCCGCTGGCAATACTCAACATTGTCATTGTAGTATGAAAACAGCCATGGACAATTTGTTTAAAAAAAGAAAAAGGCATTACTTTGTTTCAGTTAAACTTTATTTACAAAAACCGGAAGCTGGCTGGATTTGGTCCATGGGGAGCATAGTTTGCTGACTCCTATTTTCAGAGTTCTGAAGTTTCTAAACTTACTCTAGAAAGTGAAAGCAGATCTTAAATGGTTCTGAGAAGCTTTCACATGGAAGAAAACCACATCCAGGTGGGATAAGAAGGCAGGGTTTCACATGAATTCTGGATGAATTCTAGCCATCTTTAGGGGTCTGGGAGGAAAAGATTCTAGCCATCTTTAGGGGTCTGGGAGGGAAAGATTCTAGCCATCTTTAGGGGTCTGGGAGGGAAGGATTGGGAAAGTTCTAAACACATTCATTGTCCACTGAGACTTTCCTTGGAAGATTCAAAATTCTGTGTGATCATTGGTTGAACTGATTCTCTCACCACATTCTATGCATTCTTTTCACTAAAGAGAGTAGAAATCAGTTGGAGGGAGTTTTCTCTATAGCTCCCAACCCACTGCCATCTTGAGAAAACATAACCTCACTTGACATGGTTGCAGATGCCAAAGAACATGTATTTCGAATGTATACCTCAGTGTGTGGTAAATATGATTTTGGTCAGTGCAATGTAACTTGATGACACAGAGACATATGGCTTGAGCTCCTGCTCTCTATGTGTGTGTATGTGTATAACAGAAAACAATACCATCTGACTAAACAGTAGGCTTGGTGCCAGATGCCAATCTGACTGAGGCAGGCACACAAGTGAACAAAGCTAACCTTGGCCTCCACTTCCTCCTCCATCAAGAATCTATTAAAAGACTGAAAAGGGCTGTTTAGCATCAGAGAGTGGGGCATGATGCTAAAGCACACATCCTCCAGTGTTAGAAGCAGCAGCAGCTGCAGCCAAGTTT